AAATCAAAAGAAAAAATAAAAAAATAAAAACAAAACCAACGCAGCCGCAACATATTCGTTGCGATACAGCATGACGTCATTTGCGGCCGGCTCTTAACTAAGTTAAAAGAAAATGTTAAAATATTGACTAATTAAATTCACACCTTTTGTATAGTACCAATATTACATATGTACATATATCTATTCACTTGACTTGAAAATATTCGCAATATTTCCAATTGTAGATTTTCTGTGAATTTCTTGTACCTAAATTTTTTTCTTTTACCTTGACAGGGTTTCAAAAGTTGTTTTTTATCGGACCACAAGTGTGGAGTATGTATTAAGTAAATTAAACATATTTTTTATGACGAATAATTAAAGATTTGCAAATATATTCGAACATCTACTCAATTTTCTATGATTTACTCCATATTAAAATTATCTAATACCGTCGATGTTAAAAAGTACCATGATATCTCAATACGATAACGAATTTATCACTTCAATCATACGTTTCTTTGCCCATCAAGCTCTTTTTCCTCCTTTTCCCTCCATGCCCCGCTCAATACAATTTAAACTCACGATTACCCCTCTTGATTATTTTTTACATTCCACTTTAGCCTGATTCTCACTTACCGTTTTGTTGCGTATTTTATCCGTGTCTGCTTTCTCTTTCACACCTTTTTCTCCTGTCAAGTGCGTGCGCTGGCTGCCGTGTAGTCTTCTTTTCTATCTTATTTTTGCTATTCTTTCGCTTCTGTTCTGCTCTCAAAACTCAACCCGTTCTTCAACCGAAAGGTGTAAAAAAAATATGATTTTTTATATTTTTTTGTTTTCTATTCAAATTTTTTTCATAAACTTGAGATTTTCACCACACACACACAAGTAAACACATTAAATTTAACAATTTTTGTCGTTTTTCCCGTCGTTGTCGTCAGCAACGTATTTATCTTAAGATACGGAATATTTTGCGCGGAACGACAGATTTTCTTGTGGATTGCCTTTTATTTTTGAAGGATGCAGTCACAGTTTTGCACAAATTAACACTGAATAGAATCAGAATATATTTGCATTTTCTATTAGCTATAAATTTGCCACAGGCGCGCCCAATTTTTTATTAAATAAATAGTATTTTCAATCATTAAATCAAATCCAATTGAAGAATTTAGCGTCTACCAGTGGAGCAATCGACAGCTACGTCCGAATACGCTCTCACAAACTAACTGAGCAACTAGAATGAAACGAGGAAACGATGCCGAACTGGGACAACAGCGGCGTCACTCAAAATGCCCTTGCGGGCAAATTCACTCAACTCAAAATCCAATCAAACGACCGCGGGAAGGCGGCCACAAGAGAATAAAGGGATTTTTTTTGGAAACTGAAACAAAAGGAAAATTGACTGGCTTGTGAAGCAAGATGAAAGAAAATGAAAGCAAGGCTTTATTTGAAAGGGAGATCTGATGAGTACCAGACTGCTCAAATGGTAGGAATAATACACATAATACACGTTAAACTATATCGTAATAGGCATATTTTAGACAAACTGCTCTGAAAACCTATTATTTAATTATTGGATATTTTAAATTCAAAATTCATGGCAACCCTTAGGACGCCGCTAGCACGCGCAATGGCACGTAATCTTTTTTAATAAAAATTTCCCTTTCTGCATTTCCAATTGGGAAATTTGTAACAAAAAAACATTAAAATTTGTGACGGAGCATACGCCCTACTAAATCAATGGTCTGTAATTAAAATGTTTATTAAAGTAACCACAAAGTCCGAATCTAGCAAAGGTCAAATGTTCATACATACAGGCATAGATATGTAAATGCAATCACGAAATTCCGGTGTCCTTAAATAGTTAAATACATAAAATGTTTTAACTTGTATATTTCTTCACTATTATGTCACGCCGCAAATTTGCAGCACTTTAATGCTTTGATAATCCAATAGCAGAAGTGGGCGTTAGCCGGTTTTAATCGCAATACAAATATGAAGTCTGCAATAACAAGAGCACAAAAAATCTAGCGATTGATGCTAATCGATTTTTAATTCCCGTTCTCGCCAATTTTCCTTCCAACTAATTTTCACTTTCTAATACCACGCACAGTTTTCTACCCACCAATTATAGCCTTTAGAAACTTCTAAATGCGCTAGTCTGTTGAATTTAAACCGTTCAAGTGATTTACACGATTTTAAAAGATCACCGCAATGTCTTAATTTTGTTAAATTAATTTTTGAAACCAAATTATTAAAGCCTTACGATTCTCGACGTTCGTTTTCTTTGAGCTCCTCCAGCGCAAACACTCAAGTCGAGGTTCGGTTCGTTCGATTCCGCTTTTGCTTCTGTTCTGATTCGCCAAAAATTTCCTACGTTTCCATTTTCCAGTTGTATTCGCGTCGATTTTCCGGAGCTATTTTTCACAGGTGCGAGTGAGTACGCGCTATATGCATATTGAGGGATTGTTGTGTTTACTCATTCTAATTAGAAATTTATTGAGAATGATGTCATTTTAAAATTTGCAGGAGAAATAATGGGAAATTTTTGTAAGGGTTGCAATACTATTAAAATAAAATGCCAGATATATATTTATAAAATCTTTCCTCCTAGAAATCAGTGTTGGCAAAATGTTAATCTGATTAACGATCAAAAATTAACGATTAAAATTAATTAATCGTAATCAACTTAGGGCCGTTTGCACCATGTCTAGTTAATTCTAACTCCCAGTTAAACATCTTTATCGACGTTATCGACACCCATCATATAACATGTGATCGATAAAGCAGTTAACGTGCTTAACTGAAGGATGTACCTCCAGTTAGCGTTAACTAGACATGGTGCAAACGGCCCTTAATGTTTCATGATTAAAATTAATTAACCGTAATCACTACAGACGATTGACCAAACCAAACACCAGTTATGGTTATTATTTTGTGTTTCACGTTTATAAAAAACCAAGGAATGAAACCGATTCAAAATAACGTTCCGGTTTGGGTTTCGGTTTTGCCAAGTGTTTCGGTTTCGGTTTTGGTTTCGTTCTTCAAAATTTATTTCGGTTTTGGTTTCGGTTTCGTTCCGGTTTCGGTTTTTCACAGAAATTTTATTGATATAATTTAAATCACAATGTCTTAAACGTTGAGGAAAGAAAATCGAAAATTACAGTTCACTGATAATATCAACACTAGGTTCTTTCCCTAACAATCCGGACCGGATTTTTAAATTTATTTGCATATAAAAACTGATCTTCTAACAAGGGCGCGGAGTGCTGTTTGGTCGTATTTAAAAAAATTGCCAATAAAACTGAAATGAAATTTGAAAAGTGTGGTAGAGAAATGAATTTTAATGACTGTACAACAACATTGTCAAATCATTTAAGAGCAGCGCATAAAATTACTATACGAAAACAAATTCCTCAAATTTGTTAATCGTTTGTCTCCACAATCTTCAGTTAATAATGAGGTAAGATAATCATAGGTATTTATTTTAAAAATTTCATGCAAGAAGTTTTTCAGCATGAGTTTATGTAAGTTTCTACAAACAGTTTTTGGTTCGAATTTGACCAATCCGTAAGGTACAACATTTTAAACACCGCTAAAAATGTTGCTGGTAGGATTCCAGTTAATATGCGACATTAGTCATGTGGATAGTCCCAATCCACTAGCTGTCTGGGCTACTCCCATATTTATCCATGCTTATAAAGTGGCACTTATATTTCTACCTATACCCGCCAATTCTGCTCCATCGGAAAGGCCACATTTTTCAAAAAGTTGTCCGTAATTACCAAATATCGATTCAAAAAATTTTTAGAATTTTTTTTTTGAAAATTTAAAAATTTTTAAATTATTTTTCAAAAATATAATTTTTAAAAACCCTCAACCAACATTGTCATGCTGTATAACTGGAACAATTTTCAAAATTTTTAAAAATCCTGTCTGTTTTTTTACCTAGCATTGAATTTCACTAAATTACAGATTATTCTAAAGACCACTAGTAAATCATGATATTTTTGGCGTATTCTGACTCTTATATTTATAGCTAATATATTAGTTAAATGCAGAATATACTTTATACATTTTATTTTTATTAAAAAAGTCGAACAAAGTCGACTTTTCTTCGTGGATCGGTCGACTGTACAGAGTCGATCGAAAAGTCGAAAGTCGACTTTCTAGTGAAGTCGAACAACCCTAATATGAACTTTGACACTTTATCCATTTTTACTCGGAGAAAATTTCGGGCTGTTTCGGGCAGGAAGAAGAATACACTTACGATCGAATACGCTCGAATTTTCGCTCTCTATTACCCATTTTGTTGAGTACAGGCATGATTTCTGGGCTATTTTGGGCACACGCGGGATCTCGCATTGCGTACGGGAAAGAAACTACTTAAATATAATTAATCGATTATCGATTCACAACAACAAAGTCATCAGCAGATTTTTGCGAAAAGTTACCTTGCCATACTTATTTACTACTTAACAAGAATTTTAGCAAAATGTTGCTGATTTTGGTTAAATAAATCATTTATTTCAAAGAAATTTTTATTTATTATTTTTGTAAATTTCTGGAAACCGATTGAAACCTGTGATTGAAATGGTTTCGGTATCGTTCCTTTTCAGGTCAAGATAACGGTTACGGTTTCGGTTTCGGTTTTGAAAAACGAAACGTTTTTAAACGGTTACGGTTTCGGTTTGGGTTTCGGTTTCATTCCTTGTAAAAAACACATAATTGGTCCATTCTTTTGCAACCGAGCTACAAAAGAAACACTCGCTTAAATGACGAAATACACGCAAAGCAACAACGCAAACTCGGCTATTTATCCGAGTTCAGCCAGGTCGGTTAAAAAATACGCGACCTGAAGTGTAGTGTTGTTAAGTCAAAAAATTGCTCTATTGTGAATTGTTACTGGGAAATTCGGCTTGAAAGCAAGACTTGACGTGTCTGAAAGGGGACTTAGGGACGGCAGTAAATTGGGAAATTTTACCAGCGAGCAACCCTGTTATCCTGTGAACAGCAAGGCCGTTTTGACATCAAGAAGAAGCATTTGCTGAAAGGGTACCAAACGCCGCGGTTGGTGTGATAGTTTTTATTTTAGTTTTTAAGTTTTAAAGAAATTAATGCCGGTGTCGGTATTTTATACTAAGGCACAGCATTAAAAACGGTAAGTTTAACAAATAGTTAATTGAAGTACATGTGCAGGTAAATTGTAAGTTCAGTAACTAGTTCCAGAGGCATCTACGGTGTTATATTAGCAACGCAACAACAAATCGCTTTACTACAAACCGAGTGCATTCACGAATAGAATAGCGCCAAATTAAAATCTTGCAACAGCCACCGGCGTTCGTCTCATACCTTCACAATCGGCTACCTCATCCAAAAGTATGGGTCGGAGTCCATCCCCATCACATCGGCGACGTGAAAAAGAGCGATCCGAGCGTAAAAAGCGGCGTGAACGACGTTCCCGTGAGCGAGAACGCCAGCGGGAACACGAATCGGGTGCTGGCAGTAGCAGCCGTGCATTGCGTCGACGTTCACATGACAGAGGCGGCGGTGGCGGAGGGGATCGCGACCGGAGCCGCAGCCGTGAGCGAGAAAGAAGCCGACGGCGTTCGAGGTGAATAGTAAAGTGTAGTGTATTAACCCCAAAACAGAAACGTCACAGAACTAAGTATACAACTTTTTTATAATTTTCTAGCATTATAAGATACGTACTTATATTTTTTTCATATTTCTAAAATTACGCGTATATTAATTTAATCAGTGTAATTCAGCCTCATTGCGTAAGTCGTAAATTAGGCTAAATTGTACGACTCGGCAACATTGTCTACTGACGTGCAGAAATAAGTAAATACGAAAATCGTCGAAAACTATGCAGTGCTGCCAAGTTTTTAAATTTTAATACGCCTGTCCAGTTGAAATTTTATTCAATGACATGCAATTTTCGATACGATTCGACTCTCGGAAAACGACTTGCATTCGACACGACTCGATTCTCGAATAACTAATTCGACACGATTGTCACAATGAGGCTGATTAAGAAATTTAGTGTACACGAGTACAACCCTGCGCGTTGACTTTTCCCTCGCTTTTGCTTTTACGGCATTTCGTGTCGCTTTTGACATTTCAATGCGATTGACATTACCACGTGAAGTGAAATAGCCGACGAATATATGGGCAAAATTATCGAATTTCATCATTAAATTTAATTGCACACTTTATAAAGTTATTTGACACTGATTTACTTCACCATTCGAGAGTCCGCACTAAACGCGTAAAGAAGAATATCCAGTACAACAGTGATAAATTGAAAACAATATAAACAAAATGGCATTGCGCGTGCAATTTGAGAACAACGATGACATTGGCGTTTTCAGCAAACTTACAAACGCATACTGTCTAGTGGCCATCGGTGGTTCCGAGGCCTTTTACAGTGTATATGAATCGGAATTGGCCGAAACAATACCAGTTGTACATGCCAGCATTGGTGGCTGCCGCATTCTTGGCCGTCTCACAGTAGGCAACCGCAATGGATTAATTGTACCACATTCCACCACCGATGTGGAGTTACAACATTTGCGTAATACGTTGCCGGATTCAGTGAAAATCCAACGTGTCGAAGAACGACTTTCCGCTCTAGGAAATGTAATCGCCTGCAATGACTATGTTGCATTAGTGCATCCCGATCTTGATAAAGAGACTGAAGAAATAATCGGTGATGTGCTTAAAGTGGAAGTGTTTCGCCAAACAATAGCCGAAAATCCTCTTGTGGGCTCATATGCAGTACTTAGTAATCAGGGTGGCATGGTGCATCCAAAAACCAGCATTCAAGATCAAGATGAATTATCGTCGTTACTGCAAGTGCCGCTTGTGGCGGGCACAGTCAATCGAGGTAGCGATGTACTAGCAGCTGGGATGGTGGTGAACGACTGGATATCATTTGTTGGCATGAGTTCCACTGCTACGGAGATGTCGGTGATTGAGAGTGTATTCAAATTGAATCAAGCACAACCAAGCACAGTTACAACCAAATTGCGTGCTACTCTCATTGAGGAGATGTCTTAAACGCTGCATGCTGCAAGTCTTCTATGAATGAAAACGAAATTAAATTGAAGACTTACGATTTTTTTTTGTAATAAAAATAAATAAAATTTAATGTTAATCCATAATACTAATTTTAAGTATTTTTTCTAATAAAAGGCAAAAAATAAGCAAAAATGACGACTAATGTAGTGACTAATACGCCCGAGGCATTCCCACCAAAATGCTCGTTCCCACGGCAGTCGGTTCTACGTAACCGGAACGTACCAGATTATTAACTGGCCAAGGACTGTCTTCATTACAATATTCTTCCCCGAAAACTTCGAGGAACTTGTGTACCATTACAACAACAAAAACACTAAAATGTATGGTTTCTTAACGTCTACTATGTTGGGAAACGTAATTGCAATAATATTTCTATTGTAGTTTTTTTTTTTGTTTTTATCTGCCAATTTAAGCACAGTCTTATTAATGTACTAATGTCAACACTATCCCGCCTTCGAAACTTTAATAGGTCCCGTTCTCGTGATCATCCATCTACCTCAGCCTCAACATCATCAGGACGACGGGGCCGCGCTGCTGAACGTCCCAAAATCACAGAAGCTGATTTGGAGGGTAAATCGGCTGAAGAGGTTGAAATGTTAAAAACAATGGGTTTCTGCACGTTCGACACCACTAAAAATAAGAAAGTCGAAGGAAACGATGTCGGAGAAGTGCATGTAATCTTAAAGCGCAAATATCGTCAATACATGAATCGCAAGGGTGGCTTCAATAGGCCGCTGGACTTTGTGGCATAGCGTGGTATCGTGGCGCATAAGACGTGTTTACATAGCCGTGCACTGCACACAATCAAATTGACGATATGTCGTTGTACACTTTTGTACTAAGTTTTTTATTATTACTATTTTTTTCTCAGTAGTGCGCCCGCTGCAGTGTTTGACACTCAAGGCTGCAGCGGCGCGCAGACAATCCTGCAATTTTATGCAATAGACCGGTTTACAAAATTCAATTTTCAAAATTTCCACCACATATACCTCATTAATATTTTAAATATTAAACCTTCTATATTAACTTCCTGTTTAAGTTTTGCCATAGTATGTAAGAGCCACAATCAATGTTATGAGTGTTAAGGGTTGAAATGCTGCTTGAAGTTTGGGAGTATAGAAAAAATCCAGAAGATTTTAATTTCTTGACTTCTATTTTCTTTGTTTTTGTACGAAGCAATATTTGTATAATTTTCCATTAAATCTATGCGATTTGTAGTTGCTATCCTCTAGTTCTTGCGTTCAAAAGTAGTAGAAAATTTAAAATTTCTTCAAGCAGCATTTTCACTCAGCGCACTTAAAACTCGTTAATTGAGAACTACGAGTTTACAATAGTTTTTTGAATATTTAAAGTAATTAAACGAAATAATTTTTATTTTTCTTGTTACAACAAAAGAAAACTGAATTTTTTAAAGCTAAAATGAATTAAGGCGAAAGTGCAACGCGAATGTTTTGCTACATAAATTGAGCATTGGAATTTTTCATGTGCACCAGTACTTGCTAAAAACAAAAAAAAAATAAGTTGGTGTGTCACGCTTTCCGTTTATTTCTAATTTAGCATCTCTCCTGAATTTTTGCACTTGATTCATTTTAGTTCTATAAAGAAAGTAAAAACCTTAACTCTGTAACGGCATTTTAAATGTTTACATTTTAACAAAATTTTTGTTATGAATTAACTGCACACGAAATTTCCATATTCACAACAATTACTTGAAGTATTTGAAAATCAGAACAATACAACAACATATTCCCCCAAATGCCCTTAAACACAAATATCCCAGCACGCATTAAAATGCATAACTCCCCACAGTATCCTCCACACACTGCAATAGTACATTTTGTATCAAAATATTTTTTATAAATAGAGAAACTATATTTACACAATTTACATAACATTCCCGAACCTTAATATCCTACCCAACATAAATAGCCTTTAACCCGAACCCCATACAATAACACCCATATTAACCCCCAAATAGACCCCATTACAATAGACCAAATATGCAATAGCCAGGGATTTTTTTTATAAATATTAAAAAACACAAAAAATTTATAATTGTTACAGTGGAATTATTCCATACATACCATACATTATTAAAAACAAACTAAAATGTATTTAAGCATTTTTATACAGGTTCATAATGTGTGACTTTTATTTGTATTTCAAAATACAAATTTTCAAACAGTTAATTCACACACAAGTGCCGTTAAAGCAAAAACTGAATAATAATAAGAAAACAACAGTTAATAATTTTGTAATAAATAACAGTATAGTTTTACAAATAACTGATGTAGGCAAGCGGAGACGTGAGTGAGAAAAGCAGAGCAAAAATTTCCTTTGAAATAGATGGGTATTTTTTCAACGCCAAGAATTTGCGGTCTTCTGTGGCGAAATATTTTATTTACAAAGAAGGTTCTTTAAGGCAGCCGGTATTTGAGAATAAAATAAAATAATCCCGATAATAAGGCAGCCACCGTAGCCGAAAGCAAAGAAATGTGTTTTTTTTTTAAGTTCCACCCTTCAGTAGGCGGTGGCGAACCTCCGATGCGAGGAAAAAGCTTCAGCCAAACGCTTGACAAGAAATGTGAGGGCCGAATATTTAGGAATAATAGCCCATTTGTTTAAATAAATTAAATTCTGTAGTGTGAAGTGAAAAGAAAATTGGGAACAAAAATTAGGCGGGCTAAAAATCATAAATCAACAAAAAATAAAAAAAGCTATCGGAAAGTTTTAAAACATACATACACTGCCGGAACAATGTATTGGCACAGCAAATTGTTCACAATATATGCAATAATTTTTATTCTAATATTTTTCCGGAAATTTTGTATAAAAATATGGTTCATTGTACAACAAAAAACATAAAAATATAATTCTTAAGCTTGTGCAAAACTCGCGAAAGTTCAGCAAATTTTCATGCAAATTTTAAATTTTCTATAATTTTTTTATTAAGTAGTTTTGCAGGTGATTAAATTCTAGTAAAAAAATGCAAGTTCGCAGTTAGTTAAAAATTGCATTAATTTTTGAGAATTGTTTTTTTTTGTTGCAGTTTTTCGATATAAAGTATTTTTCGAAAAAAAAAATGTTTGTATGGAAGAGACTGCGTGAAAAAAAGTGCCAAAAATCAACGGTAATTCCTAGCTACATAAAACTTTATTATAATAAAATTGATTGGGCTACAAATTTGCATACTCAAAAAAAATTCTAAAAAATCTGATTAAACAGTTAAAAAATGCTGAATTTTTGCGAGTTTTTCTCAAAGCTTAGGAATTATATTTTTATTTTTTTTTTGGTGTAGCAAACACCACATTTTTATACAAAATTGGCGTAAAAATATTAGAATAAAAATTGTTGCATATATTGTGAAAAATTTGCTATGCCTATACGTTGTTCCGGCAGTGTACATACGCGTCGAAGAAAATAATAGCAGACAAATTGAACGGATTACGCTAGCACGAAATAGCTCATTTTTTAACTTAGTCTCTGCAAAAGCTCGATTTTTTTTACAGAATAATGAATGTTTTCATTACAATACAAAAACTCAACTGTTAATACGGCACATACTTTTTTATACTAATCTACATTCATGTATACAATATTGATGCAACCATAAATAAATACATACATACATACATAAATGTATAATTATACTACCACAAATCGCAATAGTTGAGATTTGGCATAAAACTGATAACCATTTGGCTGATACACACACCCCCACATACATACATATAACTTAGCTATAGTTAAACAAAATTGCAGGGATTTTTTAATTTTTAATCTTTACTCTTACTTTTGATATTAATACAATATTATATTTTAATAAAAAATAATGTTAAACAAGATTTGTTACATCTATGCATTTTACTTTGATTCCTCGTTTCACTTTCTTTTTTTGTGTAAAATATGCAACTTTATGCGCTTTATGTCTTTTCGGCAATATTTGATTTAAAAATATTAAATTATTAATTATAAAAGGAAACTTATGTTTAAGAAATTTTGTTTATTTTAGTTTATTTATGTCCAAATGATACAATTAAACAACAAATGAATTGTAATTAAAAATTGTAAATAAAAAGCGCCAAAAATCAGGAGAAAACAAAACTCAAATAAAAAACAAATGCAAAAATTTAAAATAGGCTGATTGGATTGCCTTTTTTTGTGTTATTTTTTAGGATATCCCATAAGAGCGCGGTTATCCACGAACGTGTACGTAGCGTAGAAGTAGTCCGTAGAAACATATCAAGTTTGCTGTTGATAGAGAGAGAGGGAAGCAACGTCTACGTCACGGTCATGCGGTGGTGAGTTTTTGTTAACATCCAGATCACATAGGATAGATCTTGTGTCAGCTGACACATTCTCTGTTTTTACGTCCGTGGGTAACTGCGCTTTAAGTCTGGTATATATACGACAGAAATGGGCAATGCCAACACCATGTGGAAACATTACAAATGGAAAATGGATAGGATTAGCACCTTCCTGAAACCAGTGAAAGAGGCGGATCTTGGACAACAACAACAAAACGGATACCCCCTGTCACCAGCTGCCCGGCAGGATGTCAACATGAAATAGGTGCGCTCCTCCGAGGTGAAAACCGAATGGTAGTTGGTGTCTTCATTTAGCCTGTCTGATGGTCGTAGGTGAATCCACTTGGCTGAGCAGATAGATAGTGTTCTCGATCAATAAACCTGCTGACTTTGCTTCCGCGGAACACCGAACCTACGTCAACTTAAACAATGCTGATTGGACAAGCTTCGAAGAGGTTACTGAAAGCACCTTGTCTGCCCCTCCCACACCAACCGACGTTCAAGTCGGTGAGCGTAAGTTCCACAGATGTGCCCAAAGAATGCCCAGCTTGCGGAAAGTCACCGCACGACTCGCGACACTTCTTCGCATGCGCCCTAAACCTCACTCAAGTAACGCCCCTGTTCTGTGTTCACACTTCCTGGGTCTCCCGTTAGTTGAGTAGGGTTAAGTGAGCCGCTATAACAAATCTATCTCCGTGCAAAAGTTATGGAAGGGTTTCGCACCTCAGCCTGAATAAGCCTCTGCCTTTCGCCGACTACCAACACAGATTCATCGCACATCACAACATTGAACACGATTACTGCACAGTTAAGCAATGATCGAAACCAACGTCGCTCTTGTCGTAGTTGACCTTTCGGGGCCCTTTCAGGCCATCCGGACGGAGCGATGGATCCTCAATTATATGTGCGGTCGAATTTCATAACGCTAATGGCGATCTTCTTTAAACTAAGCGTTTTCTGCCCGACGCTGTTTAATCTTTACATGGCCAAACTCGCTCCATCGCCAGCTTTAGTTGCTTTTGTGACTTATGCACGTCTACGATTCCATCAAAACATCGATAGGCTTTGCGGGGTTACTGGATATCCTTCGGACCTTGCTAGATTCTTCATGCATGTAGGCATGCTTTCGTCCGACTGTATGATGCATTGTTCTTTAATCGTTGTCGCCAATCTCACTTAACGGTAGGCCCATGAAGGGTGCCACTCCGATGGGTTTGACCAGAGAGTGAGGAGTTGTGTGGGCAAATGAGGAGGTATTTTGTGCCATGCGGAAACTCTCCACATGCCGAACATGCATTAACAACGTCCGTAAAAACTCTTGGGAATTTGTATGCTGTTACAGCAACAAAAAAATGTTGAAAAGTGCTTCTGATAGCAGGCGTCGGACGCAATCTATCTCTTGTCATTCCAGCTTCACAATGTCAAAGACGGAGGCACGCTACCATGTTTCGGGTCCATTATTGGAAGTGTGGTAATTGATACCTTCGTTGTTCACTCTAGCGTCAAAGTCGCTCGCTAGGGCGCTCTATAAGTTCATAGAAGTAATACATACATATACATGTGCATCACCGAAAAATTAAATATGTATCCATGTGTGTATTAAAAAAGAAACCTTTATTTAATTTAGTGCTAAAGAAAATTAATAAAAAGAAAATTTTTTAATTAAATTATGTAGTTGTACATTGTTAGCAAAGCATATTTATAACTATATGTATAACCATAATACAGTCGAAACTTACTAACTCGAACCACAACTTTGTCGCAGTTCGAGTCAAGTAAAAAAAATACTTAGTTTTCGAAAATATATAATTTCATATTTATTTTAAAATATTTAAGAATAATATAATGTTAATCATACTTTTTTAACCGAAAAACATATGTACATATGCTTGTTTTTAGATATAATTACTTGTAATGCACAATGAAAGGTGATGATTTTGTAAAATATTTCTTAAGCTCAAAATATTTATCTGCTTCAAATACCCAACAGTACGAACAATTAAAAATGCAAGTAGATAAAAAGTGTAGCATGCCTACCCACAATAATTGTGGTAGCAGCGTACTTAAAAATTAGTGAACAGTCAGTTATGTATGTAGATTTCCTTTACTACACAGCAAATAGTTTTCGGTCTAAATAGAATATCTTCCATATTTCTTTATATTTAAATTAAATTAGTAAATATTTCGTAATATGTATGCTAATTTTTTTTCATTATTTGATTATTTATTAGGCATGTAGTTGCTTCAACGCCTCCTACTTCGCTTCACTTTGTTAGTCATTTTTGTTAGCATACGCTTCAACCATTAAACAAACTTTTTATAAAACTTGTCGCTTGTCTTAAGCATTTTGAATGTTTTTTCTTCGTACATACATACATATGTATTCTATATTCCATCTAAATAAGGCAAATTTTATTTTATTTAATTTTTCGCATAGTTTAATGTATTATGTGTCTATAAATGAAACTTGAAAGTTGTTCGAGCAAATGAATGTTGGTGTAAAATTTATTTTTTAAATTAGTCAATAATATTTAAGTTGAAATGTTCAGAAACGATATTTGTGCGTTATATTAGCAATAATAGGCAATTAGTTCAAATTTGACAATTCAAGTACAAAGTGTATAACACACGCTGGGGAATATACAATTGCGTAGATGCACACGCACATAGCTTAGCTTTAATGCAATTATGCTTTACATTTTCATTGTAAACAATATCTCTGGGTTGTGTCAAGTTTTGTTTATACAAAACTTGATTTACGACATGGTCTGACTGAAATGGCCGTTTGGTTTGCAAAAATACCTACAAATGTAACTATTTCTAACTATAAACATTTCATCTGCCAAACAATTCGCTTTCACACCCCAACCAATATCGCCTTTGCTAGCAACTCAGTTACACAAAACGAAAAAGTTAAATTCTGTCATTAAAAAGTATAAACAAAAGAAATAGGCCTGCGATATGCGCAATTTAAGCTCCGTACGTACGCTAACTAAAGTTGATGTATGTTAATAACTATGCATATTTAATAAGCATTCTTGATTTTCATTCTAATTCACTGCTTATCTTCAAGCTCTTAATCGGCCTTTCGTGGCTTGCGTTTGCGCACTTCAACCGGACTAGTGTTTTTCGAATCCTTCTCCTCTTTCTCAATCGTTGTTTGTTCCTGTGCACCACCATCACCAGCCGACTTCTTGGCGTCCTTCTCACTTTCCGGCTCATCCGATTCGCTGGCGTTTGAATTCTTTTCACCCTCTGAAGTACCATCATCTTCATCCTCAGCACCGCCATTCTCATTTTCTTGCTCATCATCATCGTCCTCGTCGTCTTCATCGTCATCGCCCTGTTCATCAATCAAATCATTTTCGTCCTCAATCTCATCAGCAGCTAAATCTTCGATAGCATCTGAACCAGCAGATTTGCCTTTGGATTCAGAGAAGCTTTGACGTTGTGATTTCTTTGGTGGATACAAAAAGTCGACCACACAAACTAGTAATAAGCCCAAGGCAGCACCGACAAATATTGTGCCAATGGCAAACAACGCATACGATCCCCAAGTTGGTAGGCCGTATTCTTCCTGTAGACGTACATTGAAGTCCTATAAAACGTGAAAGATGAGCGAATTAGAGGGTGATAATAAAGATGCGACAAAAAAAGTTCCGGGAAAACTCAAAAGTTTTCTCAACTACCAGTTGGGAAGAATTGGTTATTTGTTAAAGGTTTTTTCCGAGTCTATAAACAGCCAGAGTCCATACATCATACTCACCTTAAGGGTATGCGACAACTTGAAGAAATATGACAGTATGGACATGTGAATAGTGTCAGGTTTTTTCCAGGCCGAGATCGGCTCAATTTTGTTCCATTGTTTTTGTTTCAAGAACAACATTAATGCGTCGCCATCGCGCGAGCCACGATATTGACGGAATTCACCTTCTTTAACACTTTAAATAATATAAAATAAAAGAAAACAATAAAAAAAATATATTGCAACTACAGTGTGGCTACTTACTGATAGATTGTTGGTAGCGCAGTAACGAAGAAACGCCCACTAAGCGATGGTGATGTGGTTACATCGATTTTGGCTACACTTACATGCAGCTCCTTTGCGGTTTTAGCGAAACGTTCCCAAGTGGGCGCGAGATTTTTACAAGCGGGACACCAGGGGGCAAAGCTAAAGGGAAGAATTCAATTATTGTGTGTTGGTGTTGGTTGATTTTTCCGACCAATTTTTGAATTATTATTTTTTTTTAGCACATTTACATTTTATTTTATAATAATATAACAGCAAATTTTGCTCATTACTTATACATATTTTTGTACACCTGCGCGTACTATCCGCAGATCAATTTACAAATTACCCACATGTTAGTAGAAGTGACGTGGTAATTGGATGTAATAATCATGAATTATATATGTTTGTACCTATTGAACATATATTAGATACTCACGATTATTTATCAAAAATATCAATGTTATTTGTTTGGCTTAGTTTAATGGCCTTGACTCGGTTAAATTTTTTTTGTTTACCGGCTGTCAAGTGATAAATGCAGCCGGCATTAAATATAGAAATGTATCCATATACTGTTACTCCCAAAATTGAGCGTACGGATCTTTTTTGTTAATATTCGCAATGTTTTACTCGCTAAACATATTTTGTTAATTTTATATTTAAATCCAAGAATGATACTCAGCCCATGTTGAATATCGTCATCATCAGTAAAAGTGACGATACAGCCATCGTCAGCCATGTTACTGATGCGCTGACGATCGTCGACGATGATGACGATATTCAGCATAAGGCCGACTGTGTACAAAAATTAAGAAAAATCAGCAACGTTTCATGAAAATCGAGTACTTTTTAATACCGATTTCTAAAAAGAATTCAGTTATGCAGTTTTATAGCCAATTAAATTTTAGTATAATAACGTGCAAATTTCAAATCTCTAAAAAATCGCGTTGATTTTTGAATTTTTTTTTTTTGCTGATTGTCCTAAGCATAGTTGGGGATTTTGCTGAAATTTTGCAGACTTCTCTTAATTTTTGTACACAGCATCATTCTTGGATTTAAATTGGATTTGCTAAAACATAAGCCATATTTTAAAACAAAATTAAATTTAAAACATTGCGAATATTAACACAAAAAAAAGAGCTGTACGCCCAATTTTGGGAGTAACAGTAGTGCATATATGCATACATCTATGGGTGGTTAGATACATACACATGTATGTAAGTACAAAGGCAAAATTCGCAACATCTGCTACCCTAACCGCGGGGTCGTTCCCACTGCTACTGTTTGAATACTAAATGCATTTTTATGCAGGGGGCCTATGCTTTTTTTTGCATATGTGCATACTTACAATTCAACCATCCATTCTCCGTGGAGCATTGACTGCCAATTGTCCTCATTTAACTCTACCAATGGATCTGAATATGTTAACAAATCTTCATCTATATCCAATTCGTCCACATGTGCCATCAATGTCGTAAATGCGGTAAACGTCGAAAATATAACCAAATATATTGAGAGTGCATTCAAACAACCCCGTGCTAGGCTAGACTTGGAACGTGTACATAACTCCATTGCGGTTCAGTTTTTGCTTTTTGGCTGCCGACAATTATTTTCTTCTTTTGTATTTTCTTCCTTTGTTTGTAGAAAACTACAATAAATATATTGTCCACTGTGGAAAAGTTACTCTTTAAGTTATTTTCTTTAGCCTTTTCATACAAATATCCAAGTTTGATTAAACTTTGGTAAAATATTAAAAATCTGTGAAAAAATCTCCGTCTATTTGAGCAGAGAAATGACGAATGTGGATTTTCTGTCGTTTTTTTTCTTTGTGTTCTTTGCTGGAATTCAAAACCAGTGTTGTATAGCAATTTTTGACAATTGTATATCGATGACTATTCGATTAAGTGTTGTGAAGTTGGCAGCAATCAACAACTTTCAAATTTGCTCAAGTTATGAAGAAAAAAAAAAATACTGTATCTCAGGGCGCTGTTACGCAGACGATCATATGATTCACGGCACTTTTTCGCATTTTTTCCATTCTTACTCTCTTTGACCAACATGCTGTTGCAGAGGGTCAAATGACCGGCGTATTTCTTTGGCTCAGTTGCATTTCTTTGGTATATTTTTTTACTACTTTTTACATTTGTGTTATGAAATTACGAAAAAAAAGAATTATGTGTATAAAAGCATGTAAAACCCAAACAAAACAAGAGTTTCTAGCATTAAGCTTATTCTATATATGTAGTACTTTGTATACATCTGAAGCAAAAATGTACCATTCTACTACTAAAAACGGAAATAGTATGAAAAATACTCCATTTCGCTACTAAAGGAACAAATAGTAAATTGTATTCACAAGCCAACCAATCCTCTTTTGATCAGTGATTTGGTCTCAGCTGGTTGGTCAGATTTGAACCGATTGGTCATGCGGTTCATTTACCTCACGTACTCTCAATTTTTTTCGTTGTTCAGTGAAATCAACAATAATTGGTGACCAGGAATCATATGATCATCTGCGTAACAGCACCCTAAGGAATGGTGGTAAAAAGGGTAAATAGTATTTTGTTGCATAAAACTAAAAAAAAAAATGTTCCAGCATTTCTTAATTTACGTGGTTGCTTATCAAACTATTTCCATCGCTGAGTTAAACGTTTGACCACATCTCTAATCGATTATTCCGTACTTCCGCCAAGAATGGGTGTCAGGCCTGCCAACTTCCCTCAAAGCGCCCTATTTTACTTCAAATGGTACCTCATTTTGTATATTTGGCAAAAGGTGCCATAATGGCTCTTTGAAAAATTGTAAAATTTCAATAAAATTTTGTGATACCATTCGCGGATATTACATAAACTAAAATTTCCTAATTTTTTAAGTTTGTGCAAATATTTTATCTTTTTTTTGGGTATTGCACTTTTGTTTTAGAATAGCGAGGCTTACACGATCCGGCAAGTGTGACCACATGGTGTGATGGCTATCGATGTTCGATCGTGTTATCCCTTGAACAAGCGCTTGACACACACGTTTGCTTGTTCAACAAAAGTTTTTTGATATTTTACAGTCATGTTCGCCTCTAACCATGTTGTCACACAATTGTAAACCGTGCTAATGGAAAAGAAAGAAATAATCTTCTTTCGATTAAAAATAATGGCACTTTTTTTGGCAGATTATTCATCTACTTGACCCTTTTAATATCCTCAATATTGCACTTCGTAAGTAAGGAGAGTTGGCAGCCCTGATGGGTGTGTTGCTATCTCTATTTCAAGAACTGCATGTGCGAACGTGCGGATAAAGTGAAAAATGATCGTGAAAACCAAAACAACTGTTAATTGATCGAGGGTAGTCAAATACAAAAGAAAAGTGCGGATAATGAAGGAATGTTTATAAATGCATATGTATGTATGTACATATTTAAATATGACGTGTGATAATAATTATCATTGCAATAACGATAACAAAACATTTTAGCTTTTCGGGGACTCCACCGCGAACGCCACCAACACAGAGATTAGAAAACAACGAAGAACTGTAACTAGACGCAGTGAATGCAACAAAAGTCATTGCATAAACGAACGTTGAAGTGGGCGAACGGTTTTTTTCGTAATTAAATCGACGCATACTGTGTTATTTTGTTGCGCGATTATTTGCTGGAAATCCACAGGTTGGGATATTTTTAAAATGAGTGGAGGCCAGGTCCTATTACCAGAAATAAGTAATATTAAGAGCGAATGTGTTTTCGGTAAAAATGGAGCAGCTGATAATGCATTGAAACCTCACAAAGCAGAAGAATGGGGTAAGAAAATATACACTACGACCCTTAAATAGTAGCAGTAAACACGGGGTATAAATGCATATTTTCTTATCCTGGTTTTGTTTTGTTTTAGAAATTGAAGCGGTGGGCCAATTCCTGTTCGAGGAGTACCATAATTTGGTTTTTGGACCGCGTACCGACTGGTTGGTACGAAAAAGTGTTCTACGTGCAAATTTTACGAATTATCTGCATTCCAAAAGAAATGACTTGCGTCAGCGGTTATTGGATGCAAATGGCACAAGCGATGTAAGTTTTAAATCGTGCATATGTAAACATTTTTATATCTTTTATATTTGTTGATAAAATAACACCGAAAAAGAGCCCACTTCAATCCTTTGAAAGTATCCTGACTAGCCATTTATATATGTAGTAAAAAAACTCTCATGCGATATTTATCTTCGTGTGGTTATTTGGTTTTTCTTTTATTGTGAAACAAATATGTATGTATGCACACACATTTTGACATTCAGAAGGACCGCGGCGAAAATCTAAATTCGCCAGTACCGCCACCTTGTATAAATTCGCCTTGCGTCCTTTCGGAAGTACAGTACTTCTTTATTCGCTCTTGTACTTCGTACTTCGAAGTACGGTCAAATGTACTTCTTTGCGATATTTTGTACTTCAGGAGGGAGATTCTGTAACCAGTTAGCGACAAATTTCGGATCGCTATAGCACTTTTGGTCGCATGATATATATGTTTTTACGTCAAAAGGTGCAATAGCGATTCGAAAATTGTCGCTGACGGGTTACAGAAACTCCCCGAGGTCCTGAACTTCTCCAATCTTCTGGACGATCGTCAGATGGGCTGAGCGATAAATTCGTTCAAACCATTAAAGTCGAAGGGGACCGATGGCATCATACCTGCGCAGCTGCAAAGGGCTCTGATGGTGTGCAATTGGTTGGCTCGTTTGTATGCGAACTGCGTGAGACCCGGGTACATCCCAGAGGCTTGCAGGACAGTCAGTGTTGCGTTTAGGGTTCGAAATTTCAGACGTTGGTATCGATACTGAGTACTCATACTGGCATCGAGATTATGGTATCGATACTCTAAAAGTATCAGGGAGAAAGTATCGATACTACTCAGTATCGGATTCATTAAAATACGTTTTTTGGGATACTAAAATTAATTTATTCTTCAATTGTATATCTAGTTATTTCCTGAAATTAAAACAATAGAAATTTAACATATTTGATTTTTATTTCATTGCAGAACTTACTTTCATGTTGGAAGTAATTTTAACGTTAAATGCACATACATTCATACACATATGTATATATATATATATGTATATATACTATCACGAATTTCAAATTTTATTAAGAAATTTTTGTAAACTTTTTGGGTATACATTTCTGTATCCTATTCAATTTTAGTATAATAAAGTGGAAGTTTGAATTAAAAGTCAATGGTAGTAGGCTACACGTAAACTTGAATAGGTTGCAAAACTGCATACCCAAAAAGCTTCTAAAAATTCTGCCTTTTCGTGAACTTTGCGTAAAGTTTTATGGCCTTATTCATAAAAAATAAAAAAGGTATATAAACTGAAAAATGTATGAAAATGTCATTTTATTAAGCTCTTTAAACCTACTTTATTTTGTATGAATAAGGCCATTAAACTTTAATTTATTTGGTTTATGTTATGCAACAGACTACAGACAATTTTAGTTTATTTTAAGTGATGGACAAATTTGAATGATAGTATTCCATATAAGCAAAGAAAATTGGGTTGCCAATGGAAGAAAAAATTTAAAAAGTGTGTTTTTGAATAAGTATTCGATACTGCGAGTACTTTGCAAAGTATCGAGTAAAATCACCAAATAAGGTATCGAGTATTAAAGTACTCATTTTTATACCCCCAGTATCGATACTTACTCAATATCGATAGTATCGTTCGAACCCTAGTTGCGTTCATCCAGAAGGCCGGAAGAGGCTCTCATTGGAAATCGATGTTAAAGATTCAGTCTCAAGTTCTCAAAAGCTGTACATTCGTTTTTTACAAAAATTCAATGCTTGATTGTACATTAAAGTAAAAGTTGCGGTTTTTCCGCCGGGATTACAAAATTTATTATATTTTAAGACGTCCACCAAAATATTTCGGAAAAATATTAAGATTTAAGCGAGCTGGACCGATTTGAAAATACCTTTCCAATGACACCTCTTAAGTCTAAATCGGAAGAGTTTAGGTTCAGTTATTCAAGTTTTTCTTATACCAATCTTTGAAAAAAGTTAAAAAACAGCATCAAAAATCTCATCATTACGATTCCGTTTAAATTTTTTTTTGAATTTTTTTTAAATATGTTTATGCAAATATTTTAAGCTTAAACTGTTTTGTCATTTGAGAGGATTTTATCAAAAAAAATCTTTAAGAAACTATTTTTATTCATAAAAAACTCAATTTTTAGAGGTATTTTCAAATCGGTCCAGCTCACTTAAATCTTAATATTTTTCGGAAATATTGTGGTGGACGTCTTAAAATATAATAGATTTTATAATTCCAATGGAAAAATAGTACCGAGTTTTTTTTTGTATGACGAGTGATGCAGTCTATTGTACATACTATTTAAAGTATAAAACCACGTTTTCTTAAATTTTCAGTAACTCATACAGCCTTTACAGCCACTTTTTTATAAAATAATTTTGTCGTATGCTACATTTTCACGTTAAATGCTGGCCAGCTGTATGACATACTACATACAAATCACACACACAGCAAGTAAGCAAAAGGCTGAAATTGTTGAAGTTATTTTTTGCTCGTACGCAAAAAATTTATTCTAATACACCTGAGATATAAGTTGTGTTTTCGTATTCTCCAGACAGAAATTGATGAAAAATTCCGAAAACCGTGAGGCGAAAACCGTGTCAATGTAAAACGCACTTTCTGCTAATTATTTACAATAAAAATTTATAAATATTTATAAAAAGTGTGGGAAATTAGATTCTCTTCAAATTTGTTTTGAACGGTTTTTTACGAAAAATGCAAAATAAGCTTGCAAATCGCAAAAAACCCAAAAATCCAAGATGGCGGATTTCCATTCATGATCTATGTGTCACTTAGAAGTAAACCGCATCAAAAATTCGCTACGACAAATTGTTTTTCTTCATACCAATTTACTGAACTAAAAATTAGCTTTTCAAAACCTAGAAGATTGTAAATTTTCGTGGTAAAAACCTCAATAACTTTCAAAGTTGGGAGGTTTAAAAATATTGCATCGGGGGACAAAACTACATCCAGTTCCATTAAATTTCGCACTGACTTATAGGCAATTTGACCACTTTGTGAAAAATTTCATGAATTTGTGAACTTTGAGGTACGTCTTTCTGTTATCCGCAGGGCACGTTTTTATGACCAAAGGAACATTTCTAGGGAGAGTGAGGCTTTGTAACTTAACAAAAAAAATCTCCATACAACTAAGGCGCAGTCTAATGTACATACAGGTTTCTACCAAATTTTCGAAAGAGCCAAAAAATTAATTCGGTGTCTTAAAAAGTTAAACTTATTTGAATCCGTACGATTGTTAAATAATTACCCCCATATACGCGAGCATTTTGTAAGCTGACACCAATACTTATGTACATAAATTCCAAGTCATCAGAAATTGGAAATGTGAGCGCTGTGTTTGAATAAGTAAAAAAAAAAACAACAACAATAAGTCCAAAAAATACTCAGCGGAGAAAGACAAATCCCTTGACACCATATGCAAATTGTTGTTATAACTACATACATATGTGTACACACATTAATACTTACAAACTTTTGCATGCATATACATATACATCTTGAAGATATTGTTTGCCACTTATGTTTATTTATTAATCTTTAAGACTTTTCAATTAAAATACAGTTGATTCGATTCCCTCACAAATAAACTCAAATATATAACTTTGTATAAGACTGAAAAAAATTCATAAAATTTTCATCAAAATTTCAAACTTTTTTCTCAGAAGTACTAACAATTTGTTGAGTGTACAGTTTTATAGTTCTTTAGACTTTAGTAAAATAATGTGCAAGTTTCAAGAGTCTAAGAATTACCGTTAATATTTTAGTTTTTTTTTGTCGGAAGTGTTGCGGTTTTCTTCGATATTTAAAAAAATTGTGTTTATTCGTTATACGGAAGCAAATGCGTCAAAAAAATAAATAAATAAAATAAATTTTGAAGTTCGTCCAAAATGATATGTCCAACACTTTATATGAGTGTATGCAGAGTCGTAAATTGTTGTAATTAATGAATTTTCCATGAACCTTAAGCGATATATGTACATATATTCTAGCTCTTACATTTTCAGTAAGGTATCACACACTGAAATCGGGCAAAAACTAAAAAAAAAAATATTAAGAATACTCGACTTTTGGCTGTTTTTAGGGCTTATCATACATAGATGAATTAAACTTTCCAGGCAATTACAAAGTTCTTTTGTATGGGGAGCGACCCGGTCTAATGTACAGATATGCAGACCAACTATGTATGTATGTATGTATGCACATATGTATGTATGTATATTTAAATACGTGTGCATAAAGAAGCATATTCACTTCCATAGTATATTTAATAGTTTGCTTTTATTTTTGTTTTGTTATAAGAGACGATAATCGTAATCATGCTAAACTCACTGGTTGAAGGCAATGCATTTGCTTTCTTCATTTTCTATAGTTGCAGTTAAAAAAAAAAACGCATAGTAAGAATATGAAATATCAAAACCAAATATAACAATACATTTTTTATATATACATCTGTATAAATACAACTAAGTACGTACATACATATGTGCATACATATGTTTGTTGCACTTTTTTCCTCAGTTAAAGTGCTTTCGTTTATGCATAAAATGCAGTTTGTCATTAATTTTATATCTGGTATTTCCCAACAATTTCAGTTTACTTACACTGCCTATTTTTAACAAGCGAAAGTTCGCATTTTACTGTATAGACTGGTACTGCAACAGTTATTCCGCGAAAAAGCAAATTTTCTTTTATTAATAATAGTGTTCACAACACGAACTTCAAATCACGCTTTGTATTCTAATATATTTATTCCATATGTACATACCCTGAAGAAAAAAAATTATCACTTGATAAAAAATAAACCACTTGTAGTTAGCTTTTTTGCGGGATTTCTATAAAATATATAACTTGTAGTTAGTTACAAAAAGCTAATTTGAAACAAGTTGACAAGTAATGAAGGAGTAATGAAGGAGATTGTTTTCTTTAAACGCGTTTCTATTCAAATATCCTGCACTTCGCAAATAGTTTTTCGAATGGAGAACAAATAAAAGGAAGATCGAAATTTCATATTATCATTTTGAAGTTATGTCTGACGGAGTTCGAATACGGGACCACCTACAGCAGAATATGAAAACAAATATGAAATCTAATAAAATAAGAAAAAAATAAAAAATAAAATAAAAAAAAATAAAAAAAAAATAAAAAAAAATAAAAAAAAAATAAAAAATAAATAAAATAAAAAAATATTTTGTTTTTCTTATTGATATTTTGTGTCCAAAAGTAGTTAGTTACAAGTTAGTTACACCAAATGCAGACTATTCACGGCCATCGCCATAGAAACATAGTTTGCTTTCGTCAAGAAAATATACAGATAATAAGTGACTTTTAGCTCCTTTCTAAACAACTTAAAATTAGCTTATAGTTAGATACATTTCCTGCAGGGTATGCATGTATGTACATATGTATATCCAGTCCAAAAGGTGTATGACTCATTAAGCCTTGTGTTTTTCATTTTCGACGTTATCGCTTGTAGCTTGCGATTGTTTGTATTTTAATTTTAGCTTTATGTATTATTTTGTTATTTATTTCTGCATACCTATACCTTTTATTTATATGTATTAATTTGTTTTTGCAAAGCATCAAAATAAAAAGCTGTTTTTATTTGTTAATTTACAATTTATTTGCTTTTGAAAACCACATGTGTACATGTTTGTTTAAAATCGTAAAAAACGTTGCTAAAAATTATAAAAAAATGCTACATTATAGGCTGCATATGTGTACTTAACATTGTATGCGAAGTTAAGGTGGCTGGTGTTGGATTTCTTATCATTTAACTTTTTTCTGATAGCCATCAATTTATTCTATCTTAAACGCCATGCGATTAACTATCTCAACTCGAAAAACTATCTAAACTTCAGCCTCATTGCGAGAGTCGTGCCGAATGCAAGTCGTTTTTCGAGAGTCGAATCGTATCGAAAATTTAGCGCCATTGCCTAAAATTTCCACTCGACTAGTGTATTAAAACGGAAAAACTTGGCAGCACTGCATAGTTTTTGACAATTTTCGTCGTTTACTTATTTCAGCACGACAGTAGACAATGCTAATGTTGTCGAGTCGTACAATTCAGCCTAATTTACGACTTACGCAATGAGGCTGCTTTGTTGTTGCCAAGTACGATTGCTTCGTCTTATCTCAGCACTATGTTAAGCAGTTAAGTTACGGATTTAAGACACAGTAAATAGGCATGTCTGAGTTTGGATAGCTGGTTTGACAACGCTGAGATGAGATTAAACATTTCTGTCTGTCTGCGTTAGTACAAAGTTACAATAGTTCATCGAATCGCTGAGCGTTCAATATAGAATAAATTTATGGTTATCGAACAAGTCCAAATAAAGTAGCTCGGTGCCATCGATATACTTATGTACATACATTGGTCTTAAGAATTTTACAGATTAATTAACCACCTCCGATCTTTTTTGTGTCTGGCAAATGTTTGCCGTTTTATTTTTGCTAAGAGGAAGTTTCTACTCCGACGCTTCTAATTTGTACAAAGCTAAAGGGCTAATTACATGGAATAAGGTCTAAATAATTTATCTTCAAAGCTTAAGTGCTAATTACTCGAATACATTTGCCTACACTTAAAAACTACTTGCTTTAGTATGTCTCAATGCTTAAAATATGATTGCTGCATATAATTGCAAAGTAACCGAATTGAATCCTTTTTTTTTTAAGAAATTCAAGGTCTAATCGAAGGCGGAAACAACAACCTTTGGTGGAGTAAAACCCGGAGTCATTCCGATACGGAGACCCGGCTTCACGTACGTTGAATACTGCTTGATATTGGCGTACGACAATGGAATTTATGGTCTGTGTTCAAAATAAACGGCACTACCGACGGATGTTACTTCCCTTCCGCTCGCATGCATACAACCGCAATTGTTAAAAAAAAAGTGGATAGCATGTAACAAAGTCCTCGAATAACTCTCGATAGTACTTGGCGCAAAGACAAAATGCATGTTTTTGGCAACATACATAAATATAAGGCAATCGACCGTCCGTTTCTAAACTATACTGCGCTTGTTTAGTAACCGGTGATTACACCGGCTACTGACATCGATGAACATCACCTACATACATACATAATGAGGCCTCTATGCTCCACGTCAAGGAACGCATTGTAATTTTATGCGCAGAAAACAGTTCCTGTTTCTGGAAGCGGAAATCACAGACGAGATCCGGACATACATATATACCCGTACATCACACAACTCCTAGACCGGACGTTGAGCGGACCTCCACATATACAACACATGTCCGGGGGGAACGGCTCCCCACACGTCACCAAACACCTTTCACTTCACTAGAGAAGAGAGAGAAGTATAGGGGTCGCATTGAGAAGAGGAAGTAGAAGATACAGTGAGAAACAGAGAGAGAGAGATAAAGTGAGATATAATGGTATTGAGGAGAGTGAAGAAGCCAGAAGAAAAAGAAGAGAAAGAGAGAGAAGAAGGATGAGGAGAGAGAGAAGAAGAGTGAGGGGAGAGAAGAGAAAAGAGATGCGAGGAAAATGGAGAAGACAGGGAAATAAACATCGAGGCGAGAGAACAAGAGTGGAGTGAGAAGAGGACAGTATAGAAAAAAGAGGACAGAGAAGAGAATAAAAGAAGTGAGGAGATAGAAGGCGGTCGTGAGGGAACGTAGAGAAGAAGGAGAAAAGGAAGAGAATTGAACTTTTCTTCGATAGCCCGCAGTCCAAAATCCTAAACTGAACGTTTCTTTATCTGTGAACAACTCAGTGAGAGGGCAGGACCAGGATGAATTTATTTACATCTTCTTTGAATTTGCCCTGTTTCTTGAAGATATGTATTTTAAACGGGATACAGAGTCCCAGGGTCAGTAGAATTTTCATTTATTGATTTTTTATAAGTTCTATATTTTTTTAACGTTGCTTTCAGTTAGTTGTTGTTGACTTTTTAATAAAATTCAACTCTAAAATTTTAAATTAACTAATAGTAAAATAAACAAGTAAGAAAGTCTTAGTTCGGCGGAGACAAAACATTAAATACCCGGCGCAAGTATTAAATATATGATTTCCACCTTTCCGAAAGCTACCGCTACATGGTAAGCCGGGGTGTATCAGTTTTGAGTAAATTAGCGTCCTTAAATTTCGAAATATTGAAGATTCAAGCATTTCTGAAATTGTCCGTTATATGAAGAGCGGCCTCAATTTTAGTCCGATTTCAATAATTTTCAACGTTTTGCTTTTATGCGGCGAGCACAATAACCATACCGAGCATGGTACAAATTGGTAGAACGGTTACCGAGATACATATATGTATGTGATCATAAGTGGGCGATGCCACGCTCATTTTCCAAAATTTTATCATAAACGTATTTCTTGGTAAAGAATTGTTGCAAGCATCAAGGAGAGCAGGCTGTCGAAGGTGACTCCGAGGATTTTGGGGTTATTCACCGTCGGTATTGGTTCGCCATTGACGTGAATACTCAGTTGCAGTCTGACCTCCTTAGTTCAGGTGGTGAATAAATTTGCCGAGGATTTTTTAGGGGAGAGGATAAGGCTCCTTGCAGTGAAGAAGCGAGAAAGCTCGGCGAGATAACCGTTTACTTTCGAGCACAAGTCATCAATTCCATTCCCAGACACCATTATCGAGCAGTTGTCAGTATAAGAGACTGTAGTGACTCCCTCTGGTGGTTGAGGAAGCTTTTAAATGTAATAATTAAACATTAACGGGGATAGGACAAATTACTGACGAATGGCGACCATTCAGATAGTTCGCCTACCATCGCTTTAGTCCCTGTGGGAGAGAGGAAGCATCAACGTCTTCTAGTAGCGTGGAGTGACTGTCTAAAGCTTTTGACAGATCCAGCGCTACTAGAACCGTTCTCTCATAGGGGCGATTTTGGTTAAGGCCACAAGTTATCTGTTTGTTTATGGCGTTAAGTGCTGTTGTTGTGCTGTGCACTTTACGGAACTCATGCTGATGCTTCGCTGGGGTCAGGTGGTTTGTGAAATACGGGAGTAGCAAGGCCTCTAGTGTCTTCGCTACCGGGGAAAGGAGGGTTATCGGGCGATAAGACTCCTTTGTTTGCTGGTTTCCACGGTTTGAGCAGTGGGACCACTCTCCCCATTTTCCAGATGTTTGGAATGACGAGAGTGGCCATAGACAGGTTGAGGACCTCCGTTAGGTACGCTACTCCCGCAGGACCCAAATTTTTCCGTCGGGTCCAATGGCTTTGGAGGCTTTCGCCTTCCCGATGGCTACCCTTACCTCCCCGCTAGTGAAAACAAGAGGCGCACTTGGTGTTGGCAGTTTGTGCAGCCTTATGGTCACTCGACGTTTGGCTTTGTCCGCCGGAGGATGCAGGATGAACTGGCGAAGCGCGGTCGCCAAAAGATATTTCAACTCTGTCGTCACGCTTCACGGTAGACCACGTAGATTGGTGTGGGTAGAGCAGTGAAGGTGCTTTAAGTAACATCCGCGAAGCCTTTCCAATTAGCTTTGGAGAAGTTGACATAGGTTCGGTGATCCGCGGGAGCAAAGTCGGCAGGTTTATCAATCGAGATGACTATGGGCAGATGGTCTGATGTTAATGTCAGCATAGGTCGCCATGATACGCTGTTAATCAGACCAACTCTGACAATTGTTAGGTCTGGCGAGCCGCAGAAGCTGCCCATAATCCTGGTGGGTGCGTTGTCGTTCATTGTGCAGAATGTCGAATCGTCTATCTGCTCAGTCAAATGAGTTCCCCTACGATCATTCGACAGGCTTGAATGCCAAAGATGGTGGTGCGCGTTGAAGTCGCCAACTACCATACGGGTTTCACCTCTGAGTAGCGCACCTATTTCAGAGCGATATCCTGTCGGGCAGCTGAATATTTCGAGCTCAACATCGTCTGACCGGATAGCAATACCCTGACATTCTAGGATGGTATACCTGCGGTCGATGTCTGCTTCGTTAAGACGATACTACACTGTGTGTTGCGTGATGAATGCTAAGCCTTCACCATTATCTCGCTCGCGATCTCGACGGTGCAATTCAGCAAGGTTGAATTGCTTGGCAACTTCGTCTCTTGGACCGCAGCTATCAATATTCCACGCCTTCCCATGAAGACGGTTTTCTCATCGATCTTGCTCTGAAGTCCGTTGCAGTTGAATTGCAGCACCTTTGTGTGCATTTGTTCGGCTGCTTATGCGCATTTGAAGGAGAATATTGCATGAGTTAATGCAAATAAACGTTGTTAATGCAGATAAGCGGGTCCGTTTGTCACCCGGGTTATGTTAGAGACACATATCGTAGTATGATGTCAATATTACGATCTGTACCACACGTGTGCCACTCTCATATTATAAATCAGTGTAGTTGCAACGTAGCAACGGCAAACTACAATATTGATATTTTAATTTTTACTCACATGTGTGTCCCAGCCATTACCCTAATTAAGCTTGAATCAAACTAGGCAAAAAAATTCCAGGTCAGATTATCAGCCTTATTCTGTATCAAGAACGATAGGCAACACGAACGATTCGTCTGCAGAGGAATGCTTCAAAAATTAGTCCGGCGGCATCATTTTAGCCAGTTTAAATGCAACCGAGACCCTTGCAACGTAATATATGGAAAGCACGACGAAGACGACCGATGGAGTTTAAAATCGCAATCAGAGAGGTTGTCGTCTGCAGACGAATCGTTCGTTTTGCCTATCGTTCGTGATACAGAATAAGGCTGTTATTCATTTCAACGGAACTAATTTTTAAAATTTTAAAGACTCCATATTTTGTTGTTTTAATAATCTTCTTTCCTTATCTCGCACAGGTCGGTACTTTGCTCTCACGCACGAATTACCTAATCAATACGCAACGCGGCTCTGAGTCCTATCGTATTAGGAGCGCTTCTTTTTACCAGCATATCAACAAAAAAATCGAAGAACTTGATGAAAAACAAAAAAATGGCGAAACTACTGAGTATATGGCAAATGGTGACGAAGGCAAATCAGCGCTGAATGGTGATCCTGCGCTGATAGAATCCCTACAAGTGGAAGACAATGCGCCCACTCATGAACTTCTTTATGAGGGTAGTTTGGAGCAGGAGCGGGAATCCGCCTTTCAACTCACCAATATGGGTTGCTATATTTGTCAGATGAATTTTGGCTCACCTACTAGCTTTGAAGAGCATGTGGAAGAACATGGCGATGAATCAGATTTTAAGTTGCTCAAGGACTATTTTAAAAGTGTTCGGCCAGTATTTGAACTCTCCTATAATGTTTGCAAAAACTCGCATTATTTTCGTTTTAATTTGGTCTCGATAAGACGGAATATTGTCATTGAGAAGTTGGTGATTGTGCAAACGCGTACCTTCTATTATGTGCACAATACACGTGTGCCATATGCGTTGGGTGCAGATCGCAAAGATCATTTTTTCGTCGATTGTCATCTCTTTCGCAAAGGTGTTGTGCAGCCGATTGTTGTGGTATTCCATGATAAGTTCAACAAGCAGAAGCGTTATGTGGAGCAGCATCATTTTTGTCGCGTCGAAGAGTTCCCTGTGGTCAAGTTAAGCATCAATCCATGCCGTTTACCAAATAAAATGTAAGCTTTTATAATTATGATTAGTTTTTGTTTTAAACAATTTTCTATTACTTATCACCTTCGTTTTCCTTATTTCATATTTTACAGTAAATTTAAACCAATGTTTAAACTTCCCCAGTATATGCCGCCAGTTGAAATTCGTCGCGCTCTTCAAACGGATTTCATTGAAGAACCACTTTCACAACTTTCCAATGATTTTAGACAATATTTAGATAATAAAAAAACCTTGACCCAACAAAATGTACGCGATGTATTGTTGAAGCTTTTACAAATCGAAGATTGGGATACAATGCGGGAATACTCGAGCTTGGTGCAACGTAATGTTAAGTTGCGTAAATACGAAAACGATTATATTGTTAAGCCAAAGACACCGAAGCATATCCGCTTCGAGAATATAGTTTTTCCCTATGACGATGTAATTGTGCTACCCACCGATGAGGGCAATACTATACCAAACACATTGGACGGCTTAATGAACAGAATGGAACAATTGGCTGAGGAACCTGGTAGTCAAAATCAGTCGGAAAAGAAAAAAACAAAAAGCTACCTCGGCCAAATTGAATGCATTTCATACGGGCGAGTAACGTTCAAATGCGACAAAAAAATACCAGATGACAAAACATATACAATACTCTTTCGACCATCGCGTATGGTGTTGCGCTATCAATATCGCGCCTTAGAACAGTTGGTAGCTATGCCGGCGGACATACTAAAAAAATTTCTCTTCCCCGAGCAAGTTAGGATTCGGGAATTGCCAGCATTGTGGTATGTCCAAAATTTTCATTCGTCTTTAAATATATGTATGTACACATTCATATAAATTTTCATATGTACTTGAATTCAGGTTGAATCTGCGTAACAAAAGTATCTACAAGAATCCAGAACAATTGCAGGCCATACAGTGTGTGGTGAATAATAGTGTAGAGAAAATGGCGCCTTACATTATATTCGGACCTCCAGGTACCGGCAAGACAACAACGTTGGTTGAAGCCATTTTGCAAATCTACATACTCCAGCCACAGTCACGCATACTTATTACAGCGGGCTCAAATGGCGCATGCGATGAAATTGCGTTACGTCTCTGCAATGTGCTGGCGCCAATGAATGAAACACAAACGATAACACGCATCTATTCGCGCGCATATGAGCAACGTTCGGAAAACATCAACGAATTGCTGTTGGAATACTCCAATTTGTATGCGGATCATTTTTTGCCTGATGTGAAAGTGTTGCACGCATATCGTATTGTTGTATGTACGCTAAGCATTGTGGGGCGCTTGGCCACGGGCAAATTTGGCAAAGAAATCGATGGTAGTGGTGTGTTTACGCATGTTTTCGTTGATGAGGTGGCCGCTTCTACAGAAACCGAAACTTTGGTGGGCATTATGGCAACACTTAGTGCGCCAGCAAGTTTGGTAATCTCTGGCGATCATCGTCAATTGGGTCCATTATTGAATTCCAAACGTGCTGCAGATCTGGGTTTGGAGGTGTCATTGATGGAGCGCCTACTCGAACGTGATTGCTATCGCGTCGATTTGGATGGCAACTATAATCGACAAATACAAACACGTTTATGTCGCAATTTCCGTTCACATCCGGAAATAGTTAATTTGTATAGTGAAATGTACTATGAAGGACGATTGAAGGCGGAGGCCGAGCCAGGTGAGGAGGGGTAGTAGTACTAGAATGTTTGAAATTAAGGAGCCAAAACATTTTTAATAATTAAGCGAGCTCAAATTCTCCATTTAGATGTTGTACTTAAAAAAATATGCAGTAATACATTTTCTTTTGTTTGCTATTTATTTACGCAGCCGTTCAGCAGCTATGCCGCGACTGGCATCGATCTCCCAACGCTGAATATCCGATTATTTTTCATTCTATTTTTGGTCCCGAACAACGTGAAAATAATTCCACAAGGTAAATGTATACTTTTCGAATTACTAGCCATTGTATGTACATATGCTAGTATTCATATTTGAAGTTAATATATTACTCATAGAAAATAACTGCAAACCCAAGTCGTTTTTACAGAGATGTTGTCACCGATATCGAATAGACAATCGATAACAAGATCGAAAAAAGAAAGATAACGATATCAGTCATAGTATCGAAAACAATGGCGGTGAGGATAATATTGAAATCCCAAATTTTTATATACATACATAAATATGTACGTATGTGGTCCTAGTTTGCCGTTATGTTTTTTGTTAGCTTTTTACCGATCTCGGTATCAAATATTTTTATCGATAACGGTATCAATGATAATATCGAAAAGAATAACACCAATGATATCGATAACGAATATAGCACTTAAATATTTTTTTTGGCTGTGGTTATTGGGAGTTTATGAGTTTCATACTATGTAGTAATGAGCCTCGATTGATATAAAAAAAAGCTTCTATCACTAACCGAGCATGCGGTACCTATAGTTTTTGCGAACTAATTTCTGTTTTTAAATGGAAAACATTTGTTTCCTAAAACATGGGCATTCTGCGCTTCTCTCTTAACTCCTCTTCTTTCAAACTAAAAAAAACTGTAAATAGCTTATTTAACAAATCGCATCATCCTTATAGTCTATATAATCTGCTCGAGATTACCACCGTGATGGACTATGTGCGCGATCTACTGTATTTCGGCATTAAGGGCCACAAGATCACACAGAGTGACATTGGTATTATAACACCATATAAGAAACAGTATATGCGCATTCAGGACGAATTAAATCTACGCAATTGGTATCAAGTCGAAACGGGCGCAGTTGAATCCTTTCAAGGCAAAGAGAAAAACGTTATAATTGTATCTTTCGTACGTTCGTTCTCCAAGACACTGGGTTTCCTGGATAGTCCAAGAGTAAGTACAACAATCAAATTTTTTTCTTAAAATGATTTATTCTTCAATCTTTTTAGCGTTTAAATGTAACGCTCTCTCGTGCTCGTTCAATTCTCATACTAATCGGAAATCCGAGAACTTTGAGTCAAAATGAAGACTTCAAGCATATTATTGAGCAGTGTCAACTGCATAACACCTTGGTTGGTGCCTCCTACCATGAAGATGGCCCTTCAGTGCAGAAGGACAAATCCAACAACGGGCAAATGCAGCAGCTAGCAATATCCATGGAAAAGTTGAATGTTAACAAGAAGAATATTGCTGATGATGACAGCAAAAATGGTGCCAAATCTAAGGCAAGAAATAAAAAGAAAAGGCAGAAGAAGGCCAAGAAGAATGCTATCGGTGACGCACAAGCGAATGAGAGGGCATCCGATGCTGCCAATGAAGCTCTGAAGAGTAAGAATAGCAGTGCATTCAAAAGTAAGAGCAGCTATTTTTATCGTAAACTTAGAGTTTTGAAACGTAAAAAAGCGAAGAAGGCGACAAAGGCAGCACAAAATCTTTAAATATTGAGAATGATGCAAGCTTAGAAGAAAGTGAGGAGGAGGGGGATTTGTATGTCTTGATGTGTGTGCGTGAGTATGTGTGTTTGCGTTTAAGGTTGGGAAGGTGTGAATTTCATGCCAACATGTGTATGTGTATACATACATATCTATTGATTGGTCTACAGTCTGGTAATAGCAGTTTATGCGCATGAGAAACGCCTTAAGAATGGGTATTAATCGGATATTTATTTTCAACTTCGTAAATACGCGGTTTTAAATCAATCACTTAACACACATACATATCTCATTGCTAAAATGCATTTTTTTTTTTTTTATAAAAATAAGCAAAATTATTTACTTTTATTGTGTTCTTTAAGTTTATGAAGTGTTTTTGCTCATTTAAATGCTTGCTTCTTTTGATTTTAAACATACACACATACGCGTGACATGCTTATAATTTTTCATTTAGTTAAATTGAGTGGAATTTTTCATATTGGCTGATTTTTTATATCATATATTTGTTGAAGCTTTTTGTATGTTGATTTTTTTGCTGTATTGCTTTTATGTGGAATTGATAAACTATGTAGTTTTTTTTATGTTTGGCTTTTTTGCAATGACAATAAAAAAGTTTTTTAATATTAAAAATATGTTTTTAAGCGTAAGCTTCTATTGGCTTTGACGTTTTTTTTTCAAAATTTTTGGTTATAATTGGACATAATTACTCTGGGATTAAACAATTAAGGGTCCGCAAAAATATTTAGAATTTATTTCTAGTTTTTACTTTCAAAGTCATTTTAAAAGCACCTCACAAAAAAACTGCCTCAAGTACACCCTGTCAATTTTAAATTACCGACATCTATGAAACTTGGCTAAAGATCTTTAATTTACTTATTTTGCGCCGAAAGTGGTTCGGTAAGCTCTCGTTTTGTTTTGAGCTGAATAAATTGCTTTTTGTAAACTGGTATAAAAGTAAGTCTTAAAATTTTACTATGCTCAAAAATTGCTTATAATTGTTTTTTTTATGGCTTTCATTAATTCTAAATTTTTCTAAACACTATTTACTCGCATTGTAAGTTCGCACATACATATGTTCATGCAGTTGGTCTAAAGGAATTACTACCTTCATTTGGATGTATCGAAAAGATAACATTGATATTTCCGATGCATCCCTACTTTAAATACGTTTTGAAGTAATACACTGGTCGAATATTTATTTTCTTTTCATTTTTCTCAAACTGGTCTAAAGATTTGCTATCTTCATTTCACCTCAAAAGTTGTCCGATAAGCATACATTTTGTGTTGAATTCATTAGATCGCATGTATTGCGGTTTTGTAAAACTGGTCTAAAAGTTTTTTTTTTCATAATTTACATTTTCTCTTGGCACACAAGTTACTGATAACTATTTTTTCGTATTTTATTGATAAACTCTCCTTAAAATAGACTCCCCGAAAATGGCGCCGTGTGCGTTGAAATGCGTAAGAGCGAAAAATAAAAACTTAGTTTTCGTAAATTTAACTTGCTGTAAACTTAAATACTTCTAAATATTTTGTGATTTATCTAACTGGCATACAAGTTCATTAACTTCAGTATTGTCGATTTTGCAACAAAACTTGTCTGTTAACCTAAGATTAGATTTTTATGCAACTGGTCTAACTATTATTCGTTTGATAAGAAAAAAATTACTCGATTTGCAAGTGGTCTAAAAGGATTACTACTTTTTGACTCCGTGGATATCTAGAACTGATACGGAATTTAGTTCCTAACAGATACCCGCTTTATGAAACTGGTCTTAATGTTTATAAACTTTAAAACTGATATAATTTGCCAAAAAAAAGTACACAATCGTGAGTAGTTCGTAAAAAGGCCTGAGGCATGTTATTCGGCTTCGATGATTTAAAATGATACTACTAATAAAATTATTCACCATTAATTGCCTTCTTCGCTTTTTTCTGTTTGGAGCGCTTTTTTGAACTTTTTTTTTAACAATTTTTTCCATTATTTTTTTCCTCCTTTTTTTCATCCAGCTGCAAAGCCTGCATCCGCTGAAAAACAACGCCAAACATTTACTCTTTACAAAGACCTTTATTTATCTAACGAGCGTTGTGTGCGTGAATCCGCCACCACTGGCACTATAAGCAACAATAGCAATGCCCAAAATAATAAATCAGAAATTGAAGACCTCTTCCCAGGACTACCACGTGTACCGCAACAACACGATTTTGAAATAATCAACTTGCCCCCTCAGCCCAACACTGTTGATGAGGACTTAGATCAAATTATAAAACGGTTGAATTTACTGAAAAGAAAATCGAAGCCGTCCAAGCAAACATTTGTGCCAGCAACAGCAGACATGACCGCAAAAGGCGCAAATGTAATGAACCCAGCAAGAAGCCAGACGACTACAGCGGCAGCAGCAGGATATACTAACAGTAACGTAGAGCGGCGTTATACTTTATCGAATTTGCATAGCATCAATGAAAGGGCTACAAATGTTACGGCCACTCAGAGGCCAGAAAATTATAGTGTCACGCCTACGATTAGAACTGATGGAATTCCTACTATGAATTCATCCGGTGCTCAGACACTACACATCGACGCCAGAGTATCTACTGTCGCTTCGCCTACGCCTACTGCAAATGCTGGTGTTACGCCGGCTCGGTGTCAGCCTGTATACGCAAACGGTCCCATAACATTCAGGGAGGATCTTAGGCGTTCCGGTACTACAAGTAATACTGCCACTGCTAGTGAACGTGCACCTGCCTCTTCTGCTCCTTCGACTCCGTTAAGGTCACAAGCCAACGCCAGAGTATTTGTTGGACATGCAGAATATCCAACGTCTCCGAGATACGTACAAACTCGCACAGAGCCGCCAAAGTCTTCGAAGAAGAGCTGCGTAATTGCTTAGCAAATGGAACTTCCAAATAGCATTTATTTTTCATTTCATTGTTATTATTATTTCAATTATGCAAAGTTTTTAGGCAAATGCGATTGTTGCATTTTGCTTTGAACTTTGCTCGTAGTTTTGTAGTTTCGATGACTCGTAAACGGCGAAAGGGGAAAAATGTTTTAGGGAATAGCGAGAATAGCCAGAATTGAGCTTCATGTTCATGTATGTGGACGTGTTATCTTTCTTGCTAATCGTATGTAAGTTGTTCCCGAATTTTAACTTTTTTCTTTTTCCTTTAACTTGCCGTCTTTTCTGAGGAATTGATTCTACAAAAATAACTCATTACCGCGTAAAATTTTACGCCATATAAGCTTGTGAACTGTGATATTCACAAGCTAATAGCTATAAGTTTGGGGCAGTGGGATTTTTATTTTTTGCTGCCTTTCGTTGGATCCCGAGAAGTTATAATAATTTGGGTCTGCTCGTGAAGCCTTCGGGATAATTTGAATATTTACTTTATTAATTGTCATTGAATAATATTTTGTGTGGAAACCACCGAAACAATGTCAGTCGAACCGTTAAATTTAGAGATGTCGAGAAAAGGGAAATGTGTACACTGGTTTTGTGATTGCAAGATGTATTTGAGGGTGTAATATCGTTTATTTTCTTCCGAGTCTCAAGCGCCAAATTTCACTGGCTCTTAAATCATTAGAGAGGGCTAAGCATTAGCTGGTGGTCTGTTCGCATGCAAAAGCAAACTATGTGTTTTCCTTGTGAGAACTTTTTATACTTGCTTAAAAAATAACCAATGCAAATTTTTGAAGAGTTGCTATTAAGTATTTCAAGTATTCATACTCAGGGTACTTGAGATAATTTTTCTTTTGGCACTTTTTTTTTTGACACTGGAAGCCAGTCCTTCAATGTTTTTTTTACATTTTCGCACTGGCGTAAATGCTAATTTTGCTGAAATAGTTCTCCATTTGCCTAAAATGTGTGGAATCTTTCTCTAGTCTAAAGCTCTATTGCTCTCAACGGCTAGATATTTGAGTTAACAGATGTTTGGAAAGCATACTTTCTTAATAAAATTGGTTTAAACCCTGGTTGTCTTATTTTTTTTTGCTCTGACATGCCTGAGAATTATGCCTTTTGGTTTTATAGCCGTTCGATTTACCACTTCTCTAAAATGCAAAAGAATCGAATATATAACTGGTCTAATAGGCGGCATAAAAGGTGCGTCTGGCTCGCAAGTCATTTGTGTACGTGTTGACTCGCCTTCGCCTACACACAGTTGAATCATTCTGTTTCATGCCAAGAGTCATGTCGGTGTAACTAACACATTTATTTTCACAAATACATCCAAACCGACTCGCAAGTCAGACACACTGTGTATGCCGCCTATAATGGCTTAAGTGCGGTAAGGTAATATTAAATATGAGCTGAAACGTAAAATATGTTTTAAATAAAACGGCGGTTCTTCGCCTCATACAAATTTTGCAATCACAAAATATTCTCTCTTTAATGCTGAAAAGGTATTTGTATTATTCATTTTGCCCAAAATTCCTTTAAAATGTTCGGGTTTTAACTGGTCTAAATTAAACAACTTTTTTAAAATTAAAGCAATTTTTAATGATTACACTCGACTTATAATTTGTTTTAAACCTTAATAAAACTTGTCTTATTGCTCCTTTGAACTGGTCTAATTTTTTTTTTAAGACGATTCTGTTTTTTAGCATATGCTTTGTTTAAATAAGAAAAATAGGAGCCCAAAAAAATAATTTGTAATTGGTATAATTTTTCAACTCAATTTCCGGTTGCATCATAACTATAATAATAGATCATGTCCTTTTTGAATTATTAAATTATAATACATATGTTATTCACATTCACTTTTTTTATAAAGCAATTATTGTCAACCACAATTGTAAGGCACGGTGCACATTAGAGCGATACGATATGCGGTGTTGTAGTAAACAGTGTCGCTCGGCCGATACGCAAGCGATATATGTCGCCGGTCGGAATTTTTTCGTTAATTTTCATTCTGCATCAAATGGCATATACATACAGTATTGTTTTAAAGTCTCTAAAATATTTAGAAAAATTTGAAATTTTTCCACCAAAAATTTTCAACTTTAAATTAATGGCCTCATTCATAAAAAATTAAGTAAGAAAATTTTACAGAAACTGAAATTAAAAATATTAAATTAAATGCTTTACAAGAACTCTGCTGAGAGTGTGTGGTATTCCCGTCGTTGCTAATAAATTTACCTTAAACTTTTTAATCTTGGTTGGTAATCGGATATTTTACTTTGGCGTCCTCTGCTCCGATAGGCGTAGCGTTGAAAACAGCAAGACGGTGAAGCAGCAGAAATTGTAACCCTTTCAGCCCAGAATTTTAAATTTAAAGATTTGAGTTAAGCTATTCAGCCTAGTTGCGTACGTCGTAAATTAGAGTAAAATGGACGACTCGACAACATTGGCATTGCCTATTGTCGTGCTGAAATAAGTAGACGACGAAAACTGTCGAAAATTATCCAGTGCTGCCAAGTTTTCCCATTTTAATACACTAGTCGAATCGAATTTTTAGGCAATGCCATGTACTTTTCGATACGTCTTGACTCTCGAAAAACGACTATCTAAGATTAGCTATTCAAATGTCAGCCAGCTGTTCAATTTAAACTCAGTTTACGTGATCTAAGTTTAAACTGCCACTGAAAAACTGGCCCTTAGTCTGTATATACGAAAGACAAATGTATAAAAAGATAGTACCTTAGACATTTGCAACACAGTAAATTTTTGGTATAGAAACGGAAAAGGTCAATAGGCGAGAATAGCGAAAGAAGGGGTGGTGAATTTAATAAAATAACCTGCTTCGCATTAAAAAAAAGCACTACGATCTTCGTGTCAAAATGGCGCCGTCTTTGATCAAATACAAAAGAATGTTGAGGAAATGTCCTGTCTTTTCGTCGAAGTGTCCAGATATATTCATTTTACTCTCATGAAACGTTGGGAACAAGGAAACTTTGACGCGATGAATTTTCTTGACTGTTATTACCAGGGAACGGATTTTTAGGACCTAAGAACCTATAAAAAAGGCAAAATAAAATAACGTAATAGGCTGGAAAAGGCAAAATAAAATAGCGAAAAAGGCAGGAAAAGGCACTAGGCCATTGCAAAAAAAGCAAAATAAGGCACTAAAAAAGACAGAAAATACGAAGAACAATCAAAAAATACATTTATTTTAGAAATGTTTATATTACAAGTAAATTGAGAAAACCTATGAACCAGTTTCATTATATTAAAAATTTGTACTTTGAATCTTTGACTATTTTATCCTTTCGAGTTTCTAACTCATAAAACTTTAATCTGTATAGTTGTAGTAACATTGAACCACAAGATGCATTTTGAAGTTTTCTGGCAGCATTTTCATTCGATTTACGCGAAGAAAAGCCTTGAATGTACTAAATGTGCGCTCGACGTAATTTGATACAAGCGGCGCCCAATTTAAATAAGGAACGTTTGAAATGTTCATATTATCAGGAATAAGGGCCTTTTCCTCGCCCTTTACATTTTTATCCACACCCCTTATTGTCTCCAAGCCTACGTTAGCTCAGAAAACGGCTTTGAATTTTTCCAACACCAATTTGGCAAGAGGTCCCTGCGCTTCTATAAGCCGCATGGGCATGTGTATATTTTTTAATCTTTAAAAAAAATTGTAAACGCTATAATCACTATTTTAAAGGTAGAAAAGGCAAATATCTTAAAAAAGGCAAAAAAAGGCAACATCAAATGTGTATATATGGAATCAGGGAAAGCTAAATCGTGTACATTCTAAATAGAATATACTTTATCTCTTTAGCAGAAAAAAAGGCAATTTCCATAAAATCCGTTCCCTGGTTATTACCATTTGATGGTAAAGAAAAAAGCAACGTATATAATCGACGAAGAGTACAGTATCCTCCGTAAAAACCTGAAGTTATACGATAGTTCATACCGTTCTAATTTATTCGTGGAAAACTCGAAAAAATTTCTCACTATTTTCCACAATAATATTTGGATGCACGCATATAGTCGGCTGAGAAACTATTTCAAGTTTGAGGATGTCAAAAAAATGTGTATATATAGCACACTCCGCTACCTTTTCTAGAAAAATTTAAAAAATATCCCAGAAGAATCGTTACCAGAACGTATGGTGTTTCGATTTAAAATCGAGCGGAAAGAAACTACACGAAATACCAAATGTCAAACTATTTTGGTCTTCTTTGAACTAGTTTTCAATCTTCAAAGTTACATTAGGTGCGTTCGATAAGTCAAAAATGTGTAATAGTTTTCCAAATTTTAATGGATGGCGTTCGATGTTCCCAACGTTTCATGAGAGCGAAATGAATATATCTCGACACTTCGACGAAAAGACAGGACATCTCCTCAACATCCTTGTGTATTTGATCAAAAACGATGTCATTTTTACACGAAGATCGTAGAGCTCTTTTTTACTACGGAACGGGTTGTTTTATGACATTCACCACCACCTTCTTTGCTGTACGTATTATCTTTTTATTCATTTACCGTCTCGGAACCAAGAGTAAAAAACCTTTTATTTAACCCTTTGCTACAGACATGACTAACATTTCCCTATTTTAGTGACGTGTAGTCTCTCAGACGGCAATTTTCCAGATCAAAATATATGTATATGTTAGATATTTATTAATCAACTTTTTCGATTTAAACTGGAAATTCCATCAATATATTTAATACTTATTAATGAATTAGTCATAAAAAACAAACTATAACGAAACGAAAAATGGTCGTTTTGAAGCTCGGGAAAAATGTTGAACATCAGTCGCAAGAGAGATTTAACCCAGTATATATTAAATGAGATTCAATAACAACAGGAGTTACAATATATTTTATGTATATAGTAAATTTATCACATACATACTGCAAACTGAAAATGCGCAAAATCATAAAAAAAAAATCTCAAAAATCAACGGTAGCTTATAGCCACCTAAAAGTTGCACTTTATTATTTATTATACAAATTGAGTGAACTACAAAACTGCATACTCCAAAAAATTCTAAAAAATTTTGTTTAAAGTTGAAACTTTGTCACATTTTCCTAAATTTTGGAAAAACTTTGAAACAATAACTTACATATATGCCATTTGACGCAGAATGAACTATATTTCTATTAAAAATTAACGAAAAAAATTTATTACGGAAGACATTGCAATATTTAAAAAAAAAAAAAAAAACACTGTACGGGGACTTATTCTGGTGGGTGTATAAATGTATACAATATTAATTAAAATTTAACAAACACAATGTTTCTCAATGAATTTCAAAATAATTTATATTAAATATTCTACAACTTCCTCCCAAAACTGTGTAGATGACCAAAAGGTACAAAATTTCAACATATTTACATCTCTAAATTATTCAAAAATTTTCACTTTCTACTATTCAAAAGATTATATAGCTCAAAAAATTCCAAAACTCCATTTTTTCACACTTTGAATCCCAAATATTTCAAAAACTAGAGCCAATTGAATAATTTGAAGGTCAGATTCTGATTGCACGGATATCATATATGTAGAAACCAGTGGTCATTGGTTGTGCCACATCAGTTGCTAGAATTTTGTTGGGCTGTGATCTTGTACTAACACTTATACATATGTAATTATTTACATTCTCTTATCTTTACATGACATATTTTCATATATTAATTTATCATAAAACTTGAAAATAAATCTATGGTCTCAAAGATAGCAATAATGTCTTTTTTTGAGACTAAATGAAATAACTGCCTTTTATTTATTTTAATTTATGATGTAGAGTTTCTCGAAGTTTGGTACTAAGAATCATTGGTACAAATATATAAGAAATTTATCATGGAGCATTTCGCAAAAAAAATAGTTAAACCTTTTTTAGAAAATATTTTTATTTCTACTACAAAGTTCTTTTTACATTTGTATTTTAGTGAAATATTTGTCTTTTAAAAACTATTTAATTAAATAATATTATATCCAGCAGCCTATGGAGCGGGTATGAAGTTGCCATGTTGTTGACACTCTTTTATGACAAACTCATAATCTTTATACTCCGACAGTTTCGCATCATTTCCAATAAGAATCAGCAGTGATTTAGCACGCGAAAGTATGACGTTTAAACGCTGTAAAAATAGCGGGGATAAAAATAGGTTAGGTATATTTCCTTAAATTAGGAGAAGACATTGAAAATATGGACAGTCTCGAAACATAATTGTCATAATTTGCATTGTAAATATTAAATATCTTTCCGAGTTTCGAGTTTTACAGTTTTCATATTTAAGGGAATGTAAAATAAAATTTTTATTACACATATGTACCTCTGGGTCCTTTAGAAAGCCCAAACTTTTAAATTTCGATCGTACAAACGATACAATTATAACCGCCTTCTCTTTGCCTCTATATGCCTCCGCCGTACCAGTTTCGATTTGAAATAATCGTAATGCATTCAAATCCTCTTGTATGGCCATGCATTGACTACGATACGGTGATATTATACCAATATCAGTTTCTTCCAACTTGCGTCCGCCACCCAAACCTTTTTCTAATAGCATATTGACATATTGAAAAACCACGCCGATTTCTCGTCCATTGTGAATGCTAGGAAGGGAGAAAAAAAATAAAAATAATTTATTTTATTTAAAGAATAAATTGAACCTAACGTTATTTAAGTATGTCATTCGTACCGTTCGCTATCAACATAGCTCGCCAAGCAGATATTTCTACACACGAATTTCCACACGGCGTGAAACAAAACTATGTATGTACATTAGG